TATATATTTGCTCCACCCTCAATAACTATTTTCAGTCTGTCTTTGAAACTGAACATGATGGCAGTATGCCAACATTTCCCGATCGTACTCAAGCAACATGTAAAATTAATGAAAATTGGTTCACAATTGAAGACATTCAAAGTCATCTAAATAATCTTGAAGAGACTAAATCAATTGGTGTAGATGGAATCCACCCACGTGTATTACGTAACTGTGCAGCAGCATTTGCAATACCATTCAACTCTATTTTTAGACAATCTTTATTGTCTGGCTCTGTACCTGAATATTGGAAAAAATCAAACATTACTCCCATCTTTAAGAAAGGGAGCAAGCTTTAGGTCTACAATTATCGACCGGTCTCCCTCACCTCAATACCGTGCAAAGTAATGGAAAAAATAATTCACAAACATATTATGGCGCACTGTGTGGAAAACAATCTAATCTCCAAGCATCAGCATGGTTTTATTCGTAAAAAGGGATGTCTAACTAACCTCCTCGAAGCTCGCGACATACTTACCGAGGCTATGCATCAAGGTTACAGTGCTGATATTATCTACACAGATTTTGCTAAGGCATTGGATAAAGTCCCGCACAAACGTCTTCTACATAAACTGAAAAGCTGCTACTTTGGATTAAAATGTGGCTAAAAGATCGTAAGCAACGTGTTGTCTTGGGAGAACACGTTTCTGAGTAGAAGAACGTCACAAGTGGAGTTCCGCAGGGTTCTGTCTTAGGGCCACTGCTTTTTATTTTGTTTATTAACGACCTTCCTGATAGTATCGTTCACAAGATAATGCTATACGCTGATGACAGCAAAATTATTGGGATCATATAGTCGGCATCGGATAACACAACGCTTCAGGCAGATATTGATAACGCGGTTACATGGTCAAACACTTGGCTCATGCACTTTAACATTGATAAATGTAAAGTGATGCATGCAGGTCGTCCTAATAAACGTTTATCACATGACTACACTATGGAAACCGCTGATGGCATGCGCCACACTATTGCAACTACAACTATTGAAAAAATGCTTTCCGCAGTAGAAACTTAAACTTGTGGCGCACACTCTATATATCTTATGTCCGGCCACATCTAGAATTCGCCATTCAAGCCTGGTCCCCGTATCTCGAAACAGACATTAAGTTACTTAAGGATGTTCAAGACCGCGTCACTAAGACAATATCATCCATCAGCCATTTTGATAAAATAAAGCGTCTGCAGGTACTCAAACTAACCACCCTCAAAGAACGTCGTTTGCGTGGTGATATAATTGAACAATTCAAGATTTTCAACAACTATGACGAAGTTCAATTTATGGTCCCACAGCACCAACTAATTGGGCGTGAAGTGTACAACCTACGCGGCCATGACAAGCAGTTTGATTGTCAATTCGTAAGAGGATGTGAGGAGAGATCAAACTTTTTCACAAACCGAGTTGCGGTCCATTGGAACTCTCTCACACAGCACGCGGTAAACGCTCCATCTTTAAATGCATTTAAAGATCGGATTTCGATGCGATAAACTGTTAAATCAGCATAGAGACTCCTGGAAAAGTCTCTTCATCAAATAAATAATTTAACATTTAAATATATACATATGTATATGTATATATTTTTTAATTATTGTTACAGCATTATTGCGGTTTAAATGTATAAATTTGATTACTGAATATATCAAACTCAAACTCATATATATATATACATTTATTATATGTATATATATAAATGTATATATATACATAATGTATATATACATATGTTTGTATTTGTATATATATGCATATGTTTATGTATATGTATATGTGTATATAGTATATACATATGTTGATATATATATATATATATATATATATATATATATATATTATATATATATATATATATATATATGTATATATATATATATATATATATATATATATATATATATATATATATATATATATATATATATATATATATATATATATATATTATATATGTTACTTCATTTCAGGGTTAGAAAAAACCCAAGGTTTTTTAAAAAAAACCCAACCCAAATGTTTTTTTTTGGGTTTTATGGGTTTTTTGGGTTTTTTTAAAAATCAATCAAAATACCAAATTTTTATAATTGTATGAGTACAATAATTTTTTTTTTTAATTTCATAAATTCACCTCCCTATTGCTCCAACAACCATTTCAGTCAAGGGAGCAACTCATTTTTTAATAATATTTTGTCTCAATCCTTAACATTACCATTTTTACTAACAAACAACATTAACAACTAAAATTTTTAAACAAAGGCGCTGTGTGGAGAAATAGATTGAGACAGTAATTCCAGCAGAGGTAATTTGAACCCCAACCTTCTGGTTGCGAGCCAAATGTTTTACTACTAACCTACTAGCACATTTTACTTATAGTGCAAAAAGGGACTCCATCAACTATAAATGATGTTAATTAATTGCTTTAAATTAAAAACATGTTCAGAATATTTTTGACTAAAAAAAAATCAGTGTAAAAATTATTATGACAATTGACTTATTCAAAGTTGGTAAGACAATATAAATGTTGCAAATTAGTTTTTTTTACTAACATGTTCAACATATTATTTCAAAAACTATTTTGCACAAGTTTACAACATGTAATCAACAAGTTTGCAACATGATGTTGTAACCTGATAAGTTATTATCAATCAGGATGACTATGAACACTTTTTAAACATTTTTGTATCATAGAAGAAAACTGCTAGCCTAATCACTACATTTTTTTTTATCAGAACATTATACTGTCCAGCTTCCTGGAAAAGTTATCAGCCTGATCAACTGGACTGGCAAAAAATGGATTTTTGCCTAAACTTTGTTTCTTAAAATATCTAAAATAAATTTGTTAAGAACCATTACAGTGTCTTCGCCACCAAGCTTTTTTTTTTCCTTGAAGAAGTTTTACCGGCTCAGTTTTGCAATGCAAACTGAATCAAAGTAACACATTATATAGCTCTATTGTGTGTGTGTTTCTTCACCTTTTAGCAACTTGATACTGATGTCAATTTTCAACCCGCTGTTCATAGTCACCCCTGTCGGTGGTACATGTTGTAAACTTGTAGCTGATGCCAAATATTCAAAAACTATCAAAAGACAGAGCACGAGTGTCGTTTTTACCAACAAATCTTATCCTTGTGAAATGCATACAATTTTTCAACATGTTCTCTCATTCAATGAGCAAACATGTTGCAAACTTGCTTGCACATAACTTATTTTTTTTAAGTTTTAAAGTTGTATGCACTTAAGGACAAATCTAGTAAACTGTAGCATTTTTTTTTTGCCTGACAACTTTCCATTTCTAAACTGTAAATAAAGTTTAAAAATTTTTATATATAGTATTTTGCTTGTGGCTTTGTATTTTTTTTTTTTTTTGCAGTTTACAACATAAGCTTTAAAAGATAAAAGATCAAATACCAATATAAAGGAATATAGACATTCGAGAGGAGAATAAAGATACTAAATAACTAGTAATGTCTTGAAATTTAGTTAATAGAATGATTTTTATTTCCTTTATAAGTATTTAACTAATTTATTGTTTTGATACATATTTCAATAACATTTATAATAACTTGCTAAATGTTTTAAAAAAATAATAAATAACCAACTTGCTACAAAAACAGATTGATCGATTTTGGGTATATTCTAAAGACCATTATGTACATAAATACAGTGTTTACAAGAGTAATTACAGTATAAAGGTTGCACTTGCTGATAATAAAGCACTTATAAGTGTTAAAATCTGAGTTATCAGTTGTAAAATAGGTCATTTTTAAAAAAACCCAAATATATTTTGGGTTTTTTTGGGTTTTATTGGGTTTTATGTATATATATATATATATATATATATATATATATATATATATATATATATATATATATATATATATATATATATATATATATATATATATATATATATATAAAGTATAATTAAATAGATAAATACAACTTAATAATGGAACTAAAAGTTTCATGCCTATCTGCAATCTTATATATATTATGCAAATCAATATATATTATACAAATCAAGAAAAAAAACGTTAAAAAATACGAAATGCAAAAACAGCAGTAGAATGAGTTCCGACGTCAAAAAAAAACAAATAAAAAAGAAGCATAGTAGTAAAACTGCTAATCGCCAGTGTTAAATTGGGCAAGAAGAAATTTGTTTTTATGCTGGCACTTAGATAATATTTCACTCTTTATATTTAACAAATTTGGGTGTTTAAAAAATAAAATTTCGTACTTTTCGTTTATGCATAAGTTGTTTTATTACAGGGTTATAGGCATCGCACTGTTTAACTATTTTCCATCTAACAACCGGGTTCAAGTTTTCATCTTTTAATCTCCAAACCTCCTTTGATAATTCAGTGTCATTTTTGTATTTGGGAATTTTAAAAGATTTTATGTGATTAGCATATCTAATTTTAAAAGATGTTTTGCTTATGCCAATTTAAAATTTATTGATGGGAGTTTGAACAAGATCGTTGGACTACAAAAAGAAAACTGCTGATAGGCATGAAACTTTTAGTTTCATTATAAAGTTGTATTTTTCTATTTAATTATACTTTATATATATATATATATATATATATATATATATATATATATATATATATATATATATATATATATATATATATATATATATATATATATATATATATATATATATATATATATATATATATATATATATATATATATATATATATATATATATAGAGGGAGAAAGGGAGAGAGAGAGATAGAGACATACACACATGCAATTCATGCTTATAAATATATATATATATATATATATATATATATACATATATATATATATATATATATATATATATATGTATATATATATATATATATATATATATATATATATATATATATATATATATATATATATATATATATATATATATATATATTCATATGTTTATTATATATATTTTTAATTTTTATATTTACTAATTTATAGATACATGAAAACAGCTGTAATAATAATTTATGGGACTTGTTGATCAAAAAAGATGTCTGTTGCTCAGTTTATCAATGACTGCAAACAAGATTTGGAAGGCTTGGGTTCTTTCTATCCTCATCATATGGGAAAGTACAAAACCATGATATTCAATATGGATGATGTTAGGCTTTAATTTTAATTTTAATAAATATATATTTTTTTATTATTGCTCTTTAAACTTTAAATTTTCTTTGATAAAAAAAAAAGTATTTTTTTTTACCAAGGAAAATTTTAATCAATTTTTTAATATGTTTGGTTAGATTAAATATGCAGCGTGGAAAATAAGGAAATAAATGCAAGCGGTCAATTCGACCGTCCAACTTAAAGGAATTGATAGTCAATTTTTTTTTGGGGCGGTTAAATTTTTTTTTTGTTTAAGTCTTAGTAATAGTTCTTCTAGACTAAACTTTAAAAATAAAAAAATAAGGTAATGCTTGAAGAGTAATGAAAAAAATTATTTTAATAATAACTGTTTTAAATTAAATCAATGCTTTTTTTAAAAGTGCAAACAGGCAATTGATAATTTTTAATTTATTTAAAAATAATTTATTTGATTGCAATGACGAGAAAATGCAAACGGCAAGAAAAGTTGATTGAAAAATAATAGAAAAGATTAAATGAAAGAAAATAGGACCGTTGAGGATTTAAAGAGTTATGTTCTTTATTACATATAATAATTTTGATTAACAATGAAATAAATCTCAGAAGTCAAAGAAGAAAAACTTTCGCACATAAAGAGATTTTAAAATAAATATATTGATTTTTTAATAATCCTGTTTTAAAAAAAAAGTGCAAGTTCTCAATTAGTAATTTATCTATAAACCATTCGTTCATTTATTTGCAATTTGTGGCAAAACTTACAAGAAAATAAATTAAGAGATAAGAAATATAAAACAAATTGACTAAGAGCAGATAAAAGAAAAACTGTTCATAGTTAGTACATAATTTATTATATATTATATTATTAATAAAATAATAAATAATATTTTTATATTGAAATAGTAATAAAATAAGAACTTCGATCATTTAAGAAAAAAAAGGATTTTCACTATCGGTAAAACAAAATTAATTTAAATAAGTGAAGCAAAAAACTTAATGATTATAGTTTACAGCGTTACATATACGCTACGTACATTACATGCAATACGTTCGTTAACAAAGCGAATTAATGATTTCAGAGTTGTTAAAGCAGAAAAATACTGGTTTTTATTAATATGCAATAATTATTAGATAAAAGTTTTATCAACAATGAATTTAATTTATACTTAAATATAAAATAAGGAGGAGAATTAATAACATAAAATTATTAATAAATTAATAATTTTTAATTATTGAATTATATTGATATAATTTAATAAGTTTTTTATTTATATTGATTTATATATTGAATTATACTGATAAAAAATAAATTTATTGCTAAGTTTTTTAAACAAAGATAAAAACTAGGCATTGAAAAATAAATGGATTAAAGAAAAAACTCGCTGTAACTTCTTTTCGTTTTAACGACCCACAATTAAAGTAGTGTATCATAAACAATAAAACTATTTTAAACCTTTTTCAAAATTTAAATAGTTTTATAAAACTTTAGTATATGCATTTTCCAATTAACATCCTGTTTATTTGCCAAACTATGCTTTTAAATCTCTGATTTTTTTTCAACCGGTCAACCATGACCGGCAAGTACTCATTTTGGAAGGTCAAATAAGCATTTATAGTCCTTTCAGGCATTTCCATGCTGAATATTTATTTATAAAAATCTTTATTAAAAGAATAATCTTGAATAATATTAAAATTTTGAATAGAATATTAAATATAAAAATTTTAAAATGTAAATAAAGAATTTTTTCCTAATATTCTTTATTTTATATTTTATCATAAATGTAAAGTCTTAAATATTGTATCTTCTCTGTGAAAAGTTACAGTATAGTAGCTGGTCAGTTTTAACCCAAAACTCTGTTGTTTACTGCTAATCATTATGGAAATAATTTTGATATTCCTATACTGATAAATGGCATTAGTTTAGCTGATCTTCTAGTTTATGTTTTCTTGTATTATTTTTAACTGCTAATCTCTTATTGAACCTATATATTCAGTTTATTTATTTCATTTGCATTTGTCAAGCTTGCATCACTTTATTGTGCTTGCTATTTTTTTCCATTCTCTACCTCTATAAATTTTTTAATGTTTTAGTATAGAATACCAGGGTTCAAATTATTGCAAAAAAATCTAATTGTAAAAATTTTTAAAAACTTAAAAATTAAAAATTTTTTTTTTACATTCTTCTTGCCGTTGATTTGCAGTAAAAAAAATTTTTAATTTTATGCATATTAAATTATTATTGTAAAAAGTTATATAAATATTTTATATAGATTTTTACAAAAACAATACCTTTTTATAATAATATTATAATAATATGCTAATATATTAATACACTTTTATAATAATATTTTTTATAATAAATTTTTTTATAATACAGCAACAATAAAACAATATTGCGAAGTTGTTTTGTCAATATAAAGAGCTTCTGTTAATATAATATAACTAAATTGTTAAAATTGCGACATTGTTTTATTGTTTTTCTTACAGTTTATAACATTCATAACATTAAACACGTTTTAAATAAATCAAAGTAAATAAAAACAATTCTATAAATTCTACCTCTTTATGTTTTTCTTTATGTCTTAGTATAGAATATAATAATAAAATAATATAAAATTCTTTATGTCTTAGTATAGAATACACTTTTTATGTTTGAACTAGCTTTCCTAACAATGCTTTTTCTTATTGAGACAAGGTTTACACACCTATCGCAAATGTAGTTTGTAGTAAATGTACCTACTGTACAGTAGGTACATTTATTACAAACTACATTTATGATAGGTGTATAAACCTTGTCTCAATAAGAAAGCTTTACTACTACATAGTAGTAAAGCTTCAGTTTCTGTCATATTGTTAAAGTTGCATCTCTTTCTATTTTCTACAAATGCTGCTATAGTCACTGCCAAAGTAAGCAATCATTTATCATTTAGCAAAGTTGCATTCATTTGTAAATATATCTACAAATACTCCTTCAATATTTATCTCTTCAATATCAGTTCTGCATAATTGTCTTTTGCATCATGTTTTCTTGTCTGATGCAATTTAGAGATTTTTATTTCTTTTCTCTATTTTTTTGTTTTTAAACTCTCATTTGTAGTCTCAGTTGCTTTCTGCTTTATTTGATGTGATTTAAAAAAAAAAACAAAAAAATACATAGCACTATTAGTTTTTCAAATTTTGGAAAAACTGCTGGGAAAAAAAGGTTAGCAAACGAATCATTGTTTTAGAGTTGCTATTAAAAAGTTGATTAATCTAAACAAGGATTAGAATTAACTCTTTATTTTTATTATTTTAAGTTGAGTAAATTCATTTTAAAATATAGAAAACCATTATTTTATGTTTATTTGAAAAGTTAATGAAAGTAAAATGGGTTGTAGCAGTATTTCTTGACTTAAGTAAAGCATTTGACACCTCAAATCAAGGAATACTGCTAATGCTATTGCCGTTTTAACTTCAATTATTTTATTTAGAATTTAAATAAATCGTTTGTTTTGCTGGGTTTTTTTTCAATTTTTTTATTTAAAATTTAAATAAATGTTCATTTTGCCATATTTCTTTTTAAATGTTTTATCTTGAGTATAAATAAAACATTGCTGTTTTTATTTCAGTTATTTTGTTTTATTAACATTAGTTTTGCCGTATTTATTTTAATTATTTTATTTAGAATATAAATAAATTATTTTATTTAGAATTAAAATAAAACTTTGCCTTTTTTATTCAAACATGCTCGTTTAAAATAAAATATAAATTATTTTTTTTTTTTGCCATTTTTATTTTAATTACTTTATTTAGAAAATAAATAAAAAGTTTTTGCTGATTTTATTTTATTTAGAATTAAAATGAAAATTTCCTTTTTTTTTTTTTAAATTATTTTATTTAGAATTTAAATAAGTTTTTTGTTATTCAATTAAAATATAAAGTATTTATTATTAAATATTAATTAAAATATAAAAAATTTAAAATTTAATTAACTTTAATATAATTTTGATGTTAATTTAATATTTTTAACTTTCAAATGTTAAAAAGTTTCAAATTTCAAATGTTTTTCTATTAATTATTATTAAAGTTTGACGAGCAATTACTGCCGATCAAATTTGATTGGCCAGATTTAAATTTAAGAAATTAAAATGACATTTTAATTTCTTAAATTTAAATCTGGCCAATCAAATTTGATCGGCAGTAATTGCTCGTCAAACTTTAATAATAATTAATAGAAAAACACTTTTCTAAAAGTAGCTGATCATTCAGGCTTGGTCGGGAAGCGGGTGCGATTGCACTCGATAATTGACCACGGAAATAATATTTAGTTGCGTCAAACCGGCCAGATTTTTTAGAACATTTCAAAAACAAACAAAAAAGCACACTAAGATTAACTGGACCGATGAGAGACAAATAGCTTTCAATGCGAAAAAACTTTAGGCAAAAAAAATACGATTAGAGCAAATATTTTTGAAACGTTGCTCTTTTATAATTTTTTTTATAAAATTAAGCGACATTTTTTATATAAAGTAACAACTTACTCTTAATGATTGTTTAACAAGGAAACAAATGTTCTTCGATTTATTAAAGAATATATATAATTTTTATTTATATACTTATGTCTTATTTCCAGTGGGGGGGGGGGTGCCAATACAACTTTTGCCAACTAAGAGTTAAATTTGCTTACTAAAATTCATTGATAGGGGGGTCACACACCCCCACACACATACCCCTTTGGGTATGTGGGACCTTGGGTGGGGGGTATAGAAGAGCTATAGCCCCGGGACTCACAATGTTAGGGGCCGCAAAATAGTCAAGAGGACTATTTGGTATTTTTTTAGTCATTTTTATCGGCCCTGAAAAGTCCAACAAGATTCAAACAATAAAACTAACATTAGATGATTTTTTTATGATAAATAAAAAAGTTTTTTCAATAACTGTTTTATGCTTCGATAGTTTGAAAAGTTTAACACATTTGAAACAATTCTTCTTAGTAAGATGAACAAATGAAATAATTAAATCATTGAGTTACTGTAGAAATTCAATTAGGTAGATAGAAATTAACTAAAAAAGTTAAATTACTTAATGAGGAGGAAGCAAAGCTGCTTCACAATACCGCTGATGATGTTTAGTGAATGGGCTTTATAATTTATAATAAATACTATATAAATACTAATGTATTTAAAACAGAAAAGAGTAACTTTAAGTTTAAGTATAATGAGTTCGTAAGAATGGCTGAAGCATAAATAATTGAAGTTTGTAAACCAAATTCTAAGAACTTAAAAATTTTTCTTTCTTGGGGGAAAGAATCAGTTATCGGGTACACTGAGGAAACTGGATTAGTGGTTAAAAGCATTTGTATTAACTTTGATGATTATTAATCATTTAATTGAAAACAGTTATTATTAAAAGTAATTTTGTTTACAAAATCAATCGCACAAATTGCTTTAAAAGATTGCATTTGAATAAAATACACATAAATAAAATTACATACGTTAAAAGTACATATATAAAATACATTACATACATAAAAATACATTGCATAAAAAATACATCCCTTATATATATATATATATATAAAAAAATATATATACTTATAAAATCTATAATATATTTACAAAACATTGACAAGTTAAAAAATATAAATTTAAAACATTTATTTTTGTAAACAAATGTTAGTTTAAAACATAGCTTGTAGATGTGGCTTTGAGAATGAGCCATAGTATTAAATTAATAGTTTGTTTGATAGTATATTCTTAAAACAATTTGTGCTAGAAATCTCAACGAAAACATAACAAAACTCAAATAATACTCAAGTTTTTTAAAAAATATTTCAACAGAATACTCTAGAACATTTGGTTAGTATTTTTTGAATACTCTAGATATTTTGGCTAGTATTTTTTGAACCAATAGAATTAGTTGTTTGTAGATTTGGCGGGTTTTTTGTGTACGCCAATATTATTTTTTTATTTTTCTGCACTAAGATGTTTGATAACATTCAAGTTTATGTATGTTTCCATGTAAGTCCGTAAAACAAAATATTCTAAAATTTACAATAAAATAATAAACTTGATAATTATTTTGCGGACAAACAAGGAAACATACATAAACTTAAATGTTCTTAAAATAACTAAAAAATCTGGCCGGTTTTTTGCAACTAAATATTATTTCCGTGGTCAGTTATCGAGTGCAATTGCACCCACTTCCCGACCAAGCCTGATCATTGATTGTTGATTGGCCGCTATTTCAAGCACTGATACTAATCAAAAAGCTTAACAGTTATGGTGTTCATATACTGACTTTTGCTAAAAAGGTTAAAAGAATACTTAGTTAACAGATCTCAAACAATTTTTTTTTAAAGCGCAGTGTCTAAAGTCTAAAATGGAAAAGTTGTATTTACCTGAAGGTCAGGTTTGTTTACTATTTGTTATTTACTTTAATGACATAGTATCTTGTTTGAAACACTCAAAATCTATACAATACCAGGAAAATTAATTAAATTAACAGGAATTTATAATATTTTTTATTAGTATTAAATAGTTATCAATATTGTTGTCAAAAGTGCAAAGTAGTGTTTAAAGCTGTCGGCGGGTACCTGCCCATTATTTACTGCTTGGTTTGCAGTTTAAAATTCATTTTCAAAATTTAAAATTATTAAATGTAATATAACAATATTAACTTGGCATAATTTTACAACTAAAAAAATTACTTTTTGAACCTCTGATAAGTTTTTTAATCCTTTAAGTGTGACAAGTTATGATTGTGGTTTGTAAAGCGATCTTTAAAAGTATGACTTTTAGCAATAAAATACCACTTTGGGTAATTTATAAATGGTACCACTGAATAGTGCATAATTTTTTCTTTCTTTTGATATATTATTTATTTATATATATTTGTTTTTTTAGTTGAATTTTTTGAATTTTTTTAGTTGAATTTTTTGAATTTTTTTAGTTGAATTTTTTGAAATGTTTTTTTAATTTTATTGCGCAGGGTGTTTTAGTTTAATATTAATAAAGAATCAAAAAAAAAATGGAAATAACTTTAAAATAAAAATATTCTTTAAATAAAATATTTATATTTCCAGAATTCATTCTACTTTCAATTCAATATTACTTTAATTATTTTAAGTAGACAACTAAGAATCTTTTTCTTTTATACATACCTCAGTAGAAATATTTTTTTGAAAATTTAGGTTTTAGAGTCTGACAAAACAGCTGCTCATAAGTTTAAAAAGTGTGTAAAAAGTTTGCACAGTGTTTCTCTTAGTAAGTTTTAACTTTTTTTTTTACAATGGTTTTGTTTCTTATCTATTAAGAAATTTTGTCTTAGTTAATTTGTTCATTATTTTGTTTTTGAAAAAAGTAATGCAACTCTTCTTTTTTTTTTTTTTTTTTTAAGTTTGTATATAAAGCTTGAATTTTATTTTTTTTGAAATTCACATATAAAGCTTGAATTTTATTGTTAATAGGTCATACCATTAGTGAAGTTGCATATGGTGATAATATGGAAAAAATTGGATCTGTAGCAATATCAAGAGAATCAGAAAGTGGAATTGGTAATTTAAGATATTTTTAGAAATTTAAAATTTAAAGATGTTTTGACTTGATTTAAAAAGTTTAAACTTTTAAGTCAGTTTTACAATATATTTAAAATTAAATGAGTTTTATTTAAAATTTTAAAATTTAATCTTTTCCTGGAATCTTTGTGATTTCATAATAAATATATGTATTTTTTACAATTTTGTTACTGCACCTTTTTGCATTTAAGTTGGCAAATTTTTTTTTAGTTTAGCATTTTTCCATTTTCAGTGATTATCCTTTTATGGATATTTCCAGAATTCCTGATATTTTTTCAATTTTTAGTTTTTCCAGATATCCAAAACATTTTCTATACATACAAGTTAGGTATAAATTTTTGTAATATATTTGTTTTTTAAGCTTTTTCATTCATCGCTCATAGAAAAATAAAGTTTGAAGAAAAAAATTAGAAACAACTCAGCTGAAAGCAAAATGTAAATAAAAATAAGGAAAAATTCTGGATTTTTTCCGCATATTTTACCTAAACAATTTTCCAGATTTTAAAAATATGACTTAAAAATATGAGTATGCATTTTAATTTGGCATTTTATACTTTAATTTGGAATCTTTTCATTTTAATTGGTCAATTTGTTTTTCCGTGCAGCAGCCTTGTTTGTCAAGGTTTGTGTTTCAGAGTTATAAATTTGAGAGAGGGTTAAAACCACAATTAAGTAGACTCCTCATCTGTAGTGGCCTCCTCAGACTTATGGAGGTAAATTAAAATAAAATTTTTATTTTAGTTTTGCTAATTTTAATTTTAATTTGACAAAACTTACACCTAGAAAATCAAATCAAAATCAATTTATGGAGGAGGAACATAAATAAAAATAAAATATGCAAAACAAATTTCATTCAAGTTATGAGAAATTACATGTAAAATAAAAAGCTACATGTACATGCAAATATTTTCCTATGAAATTAGGCCCAAACCACAACATCAAGAAGATTAAGAGCATGTTCATAATATCCTTCAAGATGTTAGGTAAAGAATGCAAGTACCTTGGGTTGACAAGGTGGAGAGCTCTCTCAGAATTTTCTCAGAATTCTCTCAGAAAAAAGAGCCAAATTCTTCAAGAATTGCATTCTGATCCAATCTTGAATGACATCAAAATGATCTTCAGTAAGATTCTTTTTTTTGTACCCTTCATGTTTTCCTCATTCTGTATCATCTTTGTCGATTTAACAATGTGCTGTTAAAATGCTGATACCATCGGCTGCAGCAGTTGCTTTTCAGTTACCCCCAGCATTTGCTGCATCGCAGATGCGTTGGCGTTCAGCAGCAGTGTCCTTTTTGTAGGAGCCTTTGATGAATTTATTAAATTCAGCTTTTTTAAGCTAAATTTAATAGATTCATCATTTTGAATATACCACAAGAAGAAAAAAAGAAAAGACAATAATTAATAATTCCAGTTGAAACACCAATCTAAAACTAAAACAAGTCAAGTAAGTATGCAAACAAAAAATACTAACAGAATTCAATACTACTAGAATATCCTAATAGAACTAAATAGAAAATACTAATGAAAGACAATTAAAACCAAATTGGTGTTTTTAGCATAAATAACCCCAAGATAATAAGAATGCGATATCCTTTAATAAAAATTAGAAAAATTAACAAAAAACAATAGTCTACAATAAACCCTAATGCTATCATTGATACCGAATTGTGTTAACCAATTAAAATTGTTAAAAAAATGAACAACCCATGCAACCTAAATTTATGTCAAAAATAAATGTTATATGATTGTGGAAAAGACAATGCACAAAAACCATAAAAAATGTTTTTTGTGTGTGAAATAAAAAATTTTTGTGTGAAATTAAAAAAGTTGAGTAAAGAATGTGATAATATAGCTGAAAAATTCCATGATAATAATATTAATATTAATTTGAAAACCATATTATCATAAATATTATCATAAATAATTTGAAAATCGGATAAATACTAAATAAATACTGTAATAAGACTTGATTTTCAATTTTTAATAAATAAAGTACGTAACATTTTTAACTAGGGTGTTTAATACAAATTTTTTTTGATAATTTCACAATAATATAAGACGTGATATAAAAATGATATAAAGAGCAGGAAAAGTTTTTTCTACGGGAACAGTAATAATAATTAATTTTTATGTGTTAAGTATTATTATAATTTTGGGCAAATATAAAACACAGTTTATTACTTCTTTTAGCGCTATAAAACTGGGTGACTATTACATTGCATTGTTATGCATGTTTGACAAAGCCAAACCTTGCATTTTAAAATATCATGCAAATTTTTGACAGTGATTTTTTAAAGATTGGTTAAATAAAGTAATAATAACAATTTTTATGTGTTAGTTAGGTATTATTATAATTAAGGGCAAATATAAAAGCAGTTTTTATTTCTTTTATTAGGTACTGCATTTTTAAAGTTATCTTACCTTACAAAAGAGTTGGCTAATCACAGGAAAATAATGGTAATGATTTTAAAACAATTAACAAACAGCTTTTTAGCTATACATGATCAGGGGCATGCTGGCTCTAAAAGACCTTTCCATGAATTTACTTGAAATATCTACATGATTTTTTTTTACAGTAGAGACTTTTCAGTGGGCCACATAACAAAAACAACAAAACTTAACAAAAAATTGTTATAGTTATTTACACTAAATAGTAGTATTTAAAGTTATACTGGATAATGACATTTATTGTTGTATGGATAATAATATTTATAGTTGTACCGGATAATGACATTTATAATTGGACTAGATAACAACATTTATAGTTGAACTGGATAAAAACATTTATAGTTAGACTGGATAATAACATTTATAGTTATATTGGATAATAACATTTATAGTTGGACTGGTTAACAACATCCTTAGTTATACTGATTTGTATTAAGAATGAGTTTTTCATAGTTTTAAAAACACTTTTATTCTACTAAATTAATTTTAAAAAGATGAACAATAACAACAACAACAATAATTAAAAAAAGGAACTATAATGAGAAAAAAGAAACGTAGTTAAAAAATATTACTTTTGACAATCACTAACATAATCATAACAGCCATGATATGGCGTTTTGATTTTATTTGACTATTACTTGTCATACTTATCATGATTATGTTCACCTATCAATGACAATGTCATTATCGTTATGATTATAATGAATGAGGTAAATCGTAATAATAATAAATAAATTTAAAAAAAAATCATAAAATTTTTTTAAAATTTAATCAGAATAATGCTGATAATTAGTAATTTTAAATGGCGTTTTTTTTAAATATTTTTTTCAATTTTTTTTTTTTTCATTTTTAGTGTGAAAATTTAAACAATATGGTGTTGTTTCCATTGAATTCTCTTCTTAAAGGAGACATGAATAAAATTGGAGTAATTTTTTTCTTTGTAAATTTGTTTCTGAGTTAAAAAAAATAATTTCATAGGTAAATTTACTCAATCTGCATTAAAATTTTCTTTTTCTTAAGTATATGAAAAAGCCAATTGAAGAGTCATGGAAAGAATACAAATCTAAGGGGTAATATTTCAAATCTTAAAGAAAAGGTTTTGTTGTTGTTGATATATGTGTTTAATGACACGTGTTGTTGTTGTTGATATATATGTTTGATATACAGAAGTGTAATACACATAATATGTATACATTATGCTTATGATATTGATATAAATGTATTTTTACTGTGATGCCAACTTTTATTTATTCATATAATGTAATCATCGCAGATTAAAAAGAGAAAGCAGAAAGAAAACTACAGAGATTGTATTGTATCGTGTTGAAAATCCGGAGGTATGATTAGTTGGTATGAAAAAAAAAAGATTTTTATACTTTTTTAAAAAATATTCGTAATTATTTTCAATTATTCAGAAAAACTTAATAATTTCCTTTACCTCTCTATTATCTTCCCACTTTACTAAAAGTATCAGTATATTTCCCCATCTCTCTCAACCAAAGAATCAGTTAATTTCAAAAAGTATCATGACATGAAATACAAAAAAAAAAATGTTTGTGGTTAAAAACCTATGGCTTGATGGGTATAACAATACAAATAAATTGTTTTAAGTGCATAGTTTTATTGTTTATAATTTTAAAGTACATAAGTTTATTGGTTATAGTCTTAAAGTACATAGGTTTAAGTAAATATATTTTAGTAGTATAGTAGTAGAGTGCTTGTTCTGTAAGCAAGAGGTTGAGATTTTAGATCTCTAAAATTATTCACTTTTTTGACTATTTTTAACAATGTGATGTGAAGTTTAAAAAAATTAAATATACTTGTAATTAATTTCAAGTGTTTGATATCTTATCTTAAAGTACATAAGTTTTACTACATAAGTTTATAATGCATAGTTTTAATATAAAACTTTTAAAACATATATTTTAGGTACATGTGTTTAATTAAATGTTAAATTAATTTAAGTAAAATGAGTTGAGCTTTAGTTTATGGTTTCATGGTACTGGTTTAATGATTATCGGTTCAAATTAAGGATTGGTTCTAGTAAATGGATTTTAACTTCAAAAGTTTTAAATGCATAGGGGTACGTTCAGGTGTATGGCATATAATATTTGTTTAGTTAAGCTCTATTTGAACATGATTAAAATTAAAAATGTAAATGTTTGAAAACCTTACTAAAGTGTTTATTGTTTTGTACTTTGAAGTAAATCATATAAAATCTTTCATTGGTTTCAAAGTTTACTTAACTTTCTTCTGCTTAGAGAGAATCATTTGATATAGTTGTTTTTTTTTTTAGTTTTTTAGTTTCACTGCTTGTTGTTTATTTTTCCTTTTCATGACTGAGTTCTCATTCATAAATGTGTTTAGCTAAAACTAATGTTTTTGATATTTTATTGTAATTAATTGTATTTTTTTTATATATTCCTTTTCCCAGTTTTAAGGGGACACTAAAGCTTAGGAAAATACTTTTTTTTTCTTTCTTTTTTATAACCTTCTCTCAGTCTATAACTCTTCAGCTGTGTAGAGAAACAAGATAAATGGAGTAGAGTACAGGATTAGTTTTCGGTGTCAGTATTTCTTGCTTAGAAGTGAGTGCTCTACCACCACACCACTAATATATATCTTTAATACCTATTGTACTCAATTGCTTTAAACGTTTAATGCCTTGGACTAATTAATGGTCTGCCTTTAATGCCATTGATCTAGCTTACATAAGTGCTCTAAAATTTGACGTCAATTTTTTTTATGCTTCAGACTTTATTTGTTCATTTAAGTAAGATTGTTTTCAGATAAATTTTTAATTTAACTGATTTCTCGATATTAATAAATCATTCTCATGTTAATCATTCTCGATGTTAATAAATCATTCTCGTTTCTTTAACAAACATAATGTTTAATATTATAGATATACCTTTCTTGGTGGCTTTTTTTTATGCATAGATTTTTTTTTTTGCAATTCTTCTCATTCGTTTATTACTTGTGGTACTCATTATATTTTTTCAAAGTTATATAAAAATTTTTTAATGCTTTTTTAACTATTGGTTTTGTAATTTTTTTCAACGCTTTTTATAACTATTGCTAAAGTGCTTGAATTTGAGTTTTATTTTTACTGCTATCTAGAAAGCGCCTTCTATATTCTTTTTTTTAAAAAAACTTAAATGAGAGCTCTGAAGTCTATATTATAAAGTTATGGCCAAAAAGGTCTGACCACTTATAATTAGGAGAAGTGCGTGTACCTAGGATCACCCCACTTTATTTGAAAACTATATAGCTCTAAGTACTTTTCAGGCAGGTAATTAGTTATAAAAATATTTATTTTTTAATTTAAAATTTCAATTTTCAAAGAATGTTGCTAAGGCAATTTATAAATGGAAAACACTTTTTGATGGTCTAAAGTAAGTTTTTACTGCTGGTATTTTAGTTTGTTTTACAATCCTAGAGAAAATGCTTTTCTATAAGTTCTTGTATATTATATTGTTTGTTACTTAAGTACTAAATGCAATGTTCGATAAGTTTCCTCTCAATCGTGGTTCATTAATAGATGACATTTTTCACGAGGCTATTATTTCTTGTACCTAGGGCCATATAGTTTGCTTGTACCTAGGGCCATATGTGCACAAAGAATTTGTTTGATAACGAGATAGATTGTTGAGTTTTGATTGGTGAAGAAGTTTTTTTCTTGTGGTTGTTTAGCTATCATCATACATAGACTTTTTTCTCAATTTTACTTAAAACTATTTCAATTTTGTTATTTATTTAAGTGTGGCAATCAAGTAGCAATAGAGAAATTTGTTTAAAATAATTTAGATAGATTAAATAAATTTTTATTCAAATTTATGTGGCTATCTTTGTTGTCAATTTATTATGGAGTTAGACTTAATTTTCAAAGAGCGGCCCTAGGTACATTAAGCTAGTGGCCCTTGATACAATTTAAAAAAGAAAAGCTACTTTTACCTAGGGCCACCTAGGACCAATTTTTAAACCCTACATGACATGATTCTACATGACAGACTTTTATATTTTAAGTCAATATACTTATATTAGTACAAAGTAATTAGTATAGAGATGTGATCATATCAGTTTCAACATTTTTTGACAAGTCTGAGGCTTTGAATTAGAGCATTAAAAAAATCGGGCCCTAGGTACACAAACTTCCTCTATTATAGATAGTTACTTATAAAGGCAAATATGTGTGCTGGTAACACACTAAACAATCATTTCTTGCTTGGGTAATTGCATAGTTATCAACAAATAAAAAATATACATTGTAACTGTTTTTATAGCCTATCAAATTGTTTAAATATTTATTTTCAAACAAATTTTGTTTATGTTTGTTTAAAGATTATAAGAATAACATCAAGATTTATTTCATTTTTTTAAAAATATTTTTGTTTTAGAAAATGTATAAATGATTTTGTATTTTCCTAGGTTTCTGATGAGTCTGAACGAGAGAGGCGTCAGTTTATGTATAATGCTTGTGAGGTAGGTTTTTTGAGTTATAAAGTTGTTTAAAATTTAATTATAAACATTTTTTCTGAAATTTATTTCATTTTATTTTTTACTCTGTTCAAATACATTATTTTATTCTGTTCTGTTGTTACATTATTAATATATGTTCCTTTATATTAGAGTATGTCATTGATGTTTTGTTTGTTTCTATTTTTTTACTTTTATGCTGTTGATCCATTTTATTTGTTTTTAATAACATCAGTATTCATTTTTATATATATATATATATATATATATATATATATATATATATATATATATATATATATATATATATATATATATATATATATATATATATATATATATATATATATATATATATATATATATATATATATATGTGCACTTAGCCTTGCACAAAATTCCATTGACTATATACTGAAAATATTAATAATAATATTACAAATGTTTTTTAATCAAATAAATCAGTCATAAATGTCATTTTTTTAGTACCTTGCAAAGGCTAATGAAGTAAAAACAAAAAAAGGAGTTGAACTGGTGCAGCATTTAATAGAATACTATCATGCTCAACTTAGGTTTTTGTTTATTTTTCTTTTTAATTTTCACTTTGATTTGTCATTTTTATGACAAATCATTATATATATATATATATATATATATATATATATATATATATATATATATATATATATATATATATATATATATATATATATATCTATGTATGTATGTATGTATGTATGTATGTATGTATGTATGTATGTATGTATGTATGTATGTATGTATGTATGTATGTATGTATGTATGTATGTATGTATGTATGTATGTATGTATGTATGTATTTTTGTATATATATCTCAAGCCTTCCTAGAAAGCGTGTGCAGTTGCACGCCTTGTTTTTCCACGCTTAAAGTAATTTTTTTAGACAACTTGACCATGTTTTATATAGTAAGTGTTTTAAGAATTTGCAGCAAAATAAAGCAATAAGAAACTAAAGAGAATAAAACTCGAAGAAAAGAACCGAAGACTAAGCGAAATAAAAAATTAGCTAAAAAAAAGGAATATTAAAATAAGAAAATTGTTGTCAAAAAAATAATATACCTAAATATTTTACTGTTTTGGTTTTCTTATTCATGGCGTTTGTTATTTTCCACTACCAAAGTTGATACAAGTCGAGGAAAAAAGTAGATAAGAATATAACAAAAATGAAAACATTTTTTGTTACAATTTTCGGCAACTTTTTTCAGTCAGTATATTAAGGAAATACTTTATAATTTCCACCAGAAACATAGACAATTTTTAAATTTGTTTTTCAAATGTTTTTGCTAAACTTTACTGTTTTTATCAATTCACAGGAAAACAACAAAACTAATTGACATTTATTTGTAGAAAAAAATCTTTTTTAACAAAGTTTTGATGCCTTATGCCTTGGACTAATTAATGGTCTGCCATTAATGCCATTGACCCAGCTTACATAAGTGCTCAAAAATTTGACGTCAAATTTTTTTATCCTACAGACTTTAAAGTCTGGTAAAGAAAAAAAAAAATTTTAATTTTTTTTTAATTATTTATTAACTTTACAATTTTATACAAATACAATTAACGTTACAATTTTGTTTCTTTTTTTTAAGATTGTTTTTTATTTTCTTAGTAGATAAGTTTAGCTTTTTGTCGCGAATTGTTGAAACGCTTTATAAGTTAAAAGATGCGAACTGCAGTGGTCTGTTTGTCTAAAACAATTACTTTAAACATGGACAAATAAGGTATACAACCATATGCGCATACCGGAAAGGCTTTATATATATATATATATATATATATATATATATATATATATATATATATATATATATATATATATATATATATATATATAAATTAGTAGAAAATCGCTTATCAAATTTTTTTCATTTTACACTGTGTGTAAATATTTACTTTTTATTATTGCAGTTATTTCAACCGAGGCATAGAATTACTAGAAAATATGCGCAGTTATTTTGACGGGTTAGCTGGAGAGTTGCAACAGGTTTGAATTTTTGATTTTTAATTGATTTTTAATACTTTTATAAATTTAGAAAGAAAGAATAATACTTTTTGAATAGTACATTACTATGCATTGTAAAGTCAAAAATGAACAACTTAAAAATAATATAATGTAGTTTAGAGAGTGTAGGAAAGAAGTTGGAGAAACTCTATAGTTTGTACTGTTAGCAATGGGTTCACAAGAAGTGTAGTGATATACAAGTTGCTTTTTATATTGCTGGGTTTCAGCGAATAGAATGTCAAAAAAAGTTTAAATAAAAATATAGTGTGTTAATAAGTTTTATTTTCTTAAGATACAAATGGATCATTTCATGGATTAAATTTCATGGTATTATGAGAAATAATAAGGTGTGTATGGGGAAACTTTTGTGAATTCTATCCATTTTCAACAGCAAGAGGTGTTACCATTAAAGATTATACATGCGCCCAGAGTGTTATGATATATAGCAGTGAAACATGGGCAACAAATGTTGATGATATCATCTGATTGGTTGATGTGTGGTGTGTATTTAAAATGTCAAAAAAGAAGGTATGATCTTAAACAGAGGTTCAAAAAAGTGAGTGTGTTTGATTAGATGTTTCTAGGAAGTTTAAGGTAGTTTGGAATGTTGATTATAAAAATGCAGGTAATTGGGTATCAGCATGTAGAGAGATAGCAATATCAGGAGAAAAGGATTCAAGAGAAAAAGATTAAGGAAAGCTTGCTAAAGGACAACTTGTCTTGCCTAAGTGGCAAGACATTGATAACGATGTTGATGATGATGATGATGATCAAATGCTCTTATGCAGTGCTCAGCGATAAAACCTTAAGGACTACTTGGGGCATTTAAAATAAAATTGAAAAAAAAAAGAAATACTGTAATTATAATGTTATCATTATGAAGTTTGATTAAAAGAAACAAATAAAAAAAGTTAAAAAATTCCAAACAGATGACATTTTTGTTTTTAGCTAAGATTAGAAAAAGATGAAGAAAGAAAAGAATTATTAGAAATAAAAAATCAATTAAAGGTTCTTCTCCAACTGGATTCAAACAGTACCAAGGAGGTATAATTTTTCTGTTGTATTTTTCATATTTATGTGGGATTTTTAAATTTTATTATAATAATTAAGAAATATATATAGAAAGAAAACAAGATTACTTCTTTAGCCAATACCTTGTTCATTACTACTTGACTTTATGAATTAGGGTGTTTGCAAGTCAAAAAAGAATTTCAAAGAATACCAATATTTTACATGTTTTTTTAGCAAACAAAACTGCAAGAAGTTAAGAATATAGAAAAAAAATATATATAAAATCTATAGAAAGTTTACTTTATATGCTTTTTACAATGTAACTGATAACGGTTACAAAACTTATGTAATCAAGTCATTTAAGAGTTAAAATCAGTTACAAATAGTTGGTACAGCTTTTTACTTTGTAGTTAGTAAGCAATCAGTAATTAATTAATTTTATTTTTTAATTAATAAACAGTCAGTAATTAATTTATTTTATTTTGTAGTTAGTAAGCAGTCAGTAATTAGTTTATTTTACTTTTTAGTTATTAAACATTAGTCTGTAGTTTGACAAGTCAAAAAATAAAGAAATCCAGAAGCTGTAAAGTTATAGAAATTAAGTTTATGAATTAAATTGAAATATGATTTTTTATAAATTTAAATTATTTACACTAGACAACAAATTTTTATGAAATTTTGGTTTTATTTCAGATTTTGATGTTTCTATATATTTTGTTGCATGCTAATTCTGAAAATCACTTTAGTTTTTTTCCAGCTATAAAGGTAGTGGAGATAAGCCACAGGTAATGTGTTTCAGCTGATCCCATTGGTAGAAAAAAATGTAATAATTATAAACATGTAAAAACTACAGTTTACATTTATTTGCTTTGAATTTGAAATTAAATTTTTATGCTTATAACATGTTATACAACTAAAATTTACATTCAAAAGTTCAGAAATGTACATATTGTTTTTGTCTTGTGTGATGAGACATTACAATCAATCATGTCTTATTCTTATTTTTATTGGTAATGCTTTTCCATCATCTAGATGCTTTTTTTTTGCAGAAAAATATTACCATTGTTGTAATCTTATGGAAGGATATTGATTTCTGTTGTGAAGTAGTAGCTTTTAAACTCTTTATTTTGTTATCAATAAGTAGTCTCTATTAGTGATCGACCGATCACTTATAGAGACTACTAAAAAAAAGCTGAAACTGAAATTTCAGGTACTCAAATTTGGTGTCGAAACCGATATTTTGGCAAATATTTTACTGAAACCAATACCAACATTTTGGCTAGTTAAAATTCATTTTATAAAAACAGTTTATTTAAAAATGTGATTTTACATTTGTTATTTTTTTATAATCATAATATGTTAGAACTAATTACGCATGTATCCTGAATTGAAATTTCATACACAAGTTGGCAATATAAGTTAATAGCAAAAGTTAACAACTGGCAAATTTTCTCTGCACAACAAGATTTTTTCGAGGTATTTTGTGAAAATTCTCAAAAACAACTGTTTTTCTAAATTAGATAAAAGTTTAAAATCTCACAAATTTTTTGATTTTTGGTATATTTTTCAACCGAAATTTTGCTTTTTACCAAATTTATAAAAAATACAGAAACCGAAACTTTGCTATGGGTTTAAATTTAAATTTTGTCCAAAACTGATACCAAAACAGAACTTCGGTCGATCACTAGTCGCTATTGATATGGTTAGTGTGAGATACTAATTACTTGAAAAAATCTCAACAAATCTGGACAAAAGCAAAGAGATTTTTTGGCTGTAAAGTATTGAGTATACAATGTATGTCTTTTTTGGTACTTGGTGATTCTCACAGTTGGTTGCTAAAGTTTGCATTCTTTTAAATCTTTGTCCTTCTTACAATCATTAACTTTAACCATGCAAAAGTTACAGTTGTTTAGGTGTTCAGTTGACTCTTTCCAAATTGTGAGTACTGCAAATAGCATTTTTTTTTAATGCCTCATAACCATCCTTTTAATGCAGATATGTAATAATCACAGATAACATGAAGTGCCCATGGTTTATGGTCCTAAATAAACATACTAAAATATTTCTTTTAAGCTTGTTAATAATTTGTATGCTTTGATATTGCATATTTCACCTGAGCAGGTCCAATATAACACCCACAAACATAACCAAAACAGTATATTGATAATTCATTAAATCTAGAAACCATTATGTTAATTTAATTTATTGTTTTTATTTTCCTAAAAATATAAGAAGATAAATAAAATCACTATATAATTACAATAAAGAAAAAAAACTACTTAAATAAACCTAATGCCTAAAGCAAAATGAGACTTAATGTCACTATTTGAACTATCATAATTAAATTATGCAACAAGCATTTTATATGTTGAAACATATATAATGTTGTCTAGTGTTATTTTAAAGTTTTAAACAATTTGAAAAAAAAAAAAAAAAAAAAAAAAAATACATAATAAAAAATAAATTATTAAACACTTAAATCTTTATTTTGAAGTCACAAATAAAATATTTAAATACAAGAATTTAATAAATTATAAACATTATAAAAATTAGTTTTTAAATCACATTAGTTTTTTATATAAATTACATTTTATACTCAATCAAAGTTTCTTTTAAAACTTTATTTAAAAATACTTTAATTTGTTTCATAGTAATAACTTTACTTTGATTGTTCCATAGTAAACTATTTTTAGTAAACCATAGATCAATAAAAACTGTTTGTTTACTATCAAAGGCATACTCTTAAGGCTAAGGGGCAGCAGGTGGGAAATTGTTTTTTGCAAATTTATAATAATTTGTATTCTTAAATCATCAATTAAAACTCAAAGAAATAAAATAACACAATAGGTTCAAGGAGATTTAATGTGTTTTATTTGCATATTATTAAGTTACATCTTTAAATGCACCATAATGCAATAGTTTTATTGTTATTTTACTAAATCTATGAATGAGTCAAGTTCTCATTAAACTAAAATCATGACCAAAGTAACCAAAAATTTAAAACCTAAAAAACCATCCCCACCACCTAAATATTTTAATATATCTTTTACAAATATTCGCGGTCTACGAAGCAACTTTCCATCAGTTGAGTTTTACCTCCTGCAAAATTCACCAGACTTGCTTGCACTCAGTGAAACAAATTTAAATTCTGCAATTCCTTCTTCAGATGTCAGTGTTGATGGCTGCTATCCTTTGATTCGTAAAGACTCAAATAGTCACATGCTAGGTTTAGGGGTATACATACGCATTAATTCCCCTATTTGTCGTGAAATCAGGTTCGAATCTTTTGACCATTCTTTTATGTGCTTTCGCCTAGCACCTCTTCACTCTATCACCTTTCTCTTTGTTCTTTATCGTTCTCCTTTTTCCCATGATTGCACTCTCTTAGATGTTATCTCTGATCAAATTGACCATGCCCTCTCTCTTTACCCCTCTGCCAATATTGTTGTTGTTGGTGATTTTAATGCCCATCACACTGAATGGCTTGGTTCTAACACCACTGATCCTGCTGGTACTAAAGCCTTTAACTTCTGCGTTTCTCAATCTCTTACTCAGATAGTTAACTTTGTGACTCGTTTTCCTGACAATCCTAATCATTTACCTTCACTCCTTGACTTATGTCTTGTCTCTGACCCTAGCTTATGTTCAGTTTCTCCCTTTTCTCCTTTAGGTGGTTCTGACCATGCAATGATCTCTATAAATCTTTGTTCTTGTACTTCTTTTTTGGGCTCACCTTATCATCGCACCACCTACTACTACCCTAAAGCTGACTGGGATTCCTTTCGTGATTTTCTTCGTGATGGTCCTTGGGTTGATGTTTTTTCTCTCTCAGCTGACAAATGCGCCTCCTACGTAACCTCCTGGATTCAGGCTGGAATGGAAGCTTTTATTCCTTCGCGTCGGTTTCAAGTCAACCTCATTCTACTCCATGGTTTTCTCCTTCTTGTGCGGCTGCTATATCCAATCGTAATCATTTTTTTCATCTTTTTCAAAAGAACAACTCTCTTGAGAACAAACGGCTATTTATTATTGCAAGAAATCGATGTAAAAAGGTGCTTTCTGATGTTAAACTCCATTATTCTCAGTTCACTAAATCTCGCATCTTATCGCAGAAGTTAGGCTCTAAAGACTTTTGGAAAATCTTCAACAGCATTATTAACAAGGGTAGATCTAGCATTCCATCACTCATTCATGGGACTGATCTTATTACCTCTCCCAAGGATAAGGCAGAACTATTTGCAAAGAACTTTTCTTCTAATTCCACTCTTGAATCTTATGGACATTCTCTTCCTTCCATTCCAATCAAACAGGTTGACCCATTGTTAGACATTCAAATCACTCCGGCTTCTGTTGCTAAAGTCATATCTCAATTAAACTCGTCTACAGCTTGTGGTCCAGACAAGATTCCTGTCACAGTCTTGCAGAATTGTTCTCCAGAACTTTCTTCAATTCTCTCTAAACTATTTAACAAGTGTTTGAATGAGTCTTGTTTTCCTGCTTGTTGGAAAATGGCATCTGTGGTTCCAATCTTCAAAAACTCTGGAGAAAATTCTGACCCCTCCAATTATCATCCGATCAGTCTTCTTTCTGTTATTAGCAAGGTCTTTGAGTCTTTGATCAACAAATTCCTCACATCTCATCTTGAGTCAAATAAACTACTGTCAGACAATCAATACGGTTTTCGATCCTCTCGCTCTACGGCCGACTTGCTAACTGCTGTAACTGAAAGATTTTATTGTGCATTAGATGGAGGCGGTGAGGCTAGGGCTATTGCTCTCGACATATCTAAAGCTTTCGACAAAGTTTGGCATGCTGGTCTTCTCCATAAGCTTGCTTCTTATGGTGTTTCTGGGAAAGTTTTTAAGATTATCAAATCATTTCTTTCTAACCGGTTTATTAAAGTCATCCTTGAAGGCCAACACTCTTCTTTATTTCCAGTAACTTCTGGGGTTCCCCAAGGTTCCATCCTGGGCCCTGTTTTGTTTCTTATCTACATAAACGATCTTCCTGACAACCTTTCATCTAAAGTAGCTCTTTTTGCTGATGACTCAACTTTATACTCCTGTCTTGACAAAAAGTCTTTTCTTTTCGTTCGCCTAGAACAAGCAGCTGATCTTGAATCTGATCTCACTTCAGTAATAGATTGGGGTTCACAGTGGCTTGTGAATTTCAACTCTAAAAAAACCCAATTGCTTACTGCAAACAACTACCGTAATATGGTCAACATTCCTATATTAATGAATGGCAACCCTCTTACTGAGTCCTCCTCTTTACGTCTTCTTGGATTATCCCTTACTACTGATCTTTCATGGAAACCATATATACAATCGATTGCTAAATTAGCTTCTGCTAAGGTTGCTTCTCTTTATCGTGCTCGCCATTTCCTTACTTCTGATTCCATTCTCTACCTCTACAAATCTCTTATTCGTCCCTGTATGGAATACTGTTGTCATATTTGGGCTGGTTCTTCTAACGATTCACTTTCTCTTCTTGACAAAGTCCAAAAACGCATTGTAAACGTTGTTGGACCTGGACTATCTGCTAAGCTTGAACCTCTTTCCCATCGTCGTAAAGTTGCATTTCTTTCTCTTTTCTACAAATACTATCATGGTCACTGCTCAAAGGAGTTATCATCTCTAGTTCTATCAACTAAAATTCATTCTCGTTTTACTTGTCATTCAGCTAAGTCTCATTCGTTTACTGTATCTGTCCCTGCATGCTCTAAAAACTTTTATTCATCTAGTTTTTTTCCCCGCACTTCAATCCTTTGGAACTCTCTCCCATCTTCATGTTTTCCTGACTCATACAACCTTCAACTTTTCAAGTCTTCTGTCAACCGTTTCCTTGCTCTATAACTCTGTTCTTTTTTTTCCTAGTAACTCCCAACTTAATAGTGGTTGCTTGCAGCCTTGTTGGGAGTGAATGCAAATTAAAAAAAAAAAAAAAAAATGATTTTATTGTTTACTGTTTTAATCTTAAACATTAAATATCTGAATTTTATTTTTAAAAAACCCTAAAAGTATTTTTAATGGTTTTTCTATCTTTTCAAATCATTTACCCAAGGTGGAGGGGGCACAATAGTCAAATAAATGTTATGCTGTAGCATATTTTTAATAGTGTTGTACTTCTTTTTAATTGTCATGAAAATAAATGATATTTAATTTTGCTTGAATGTTAGTTTTGTGCAGCACATTTTAGGTTCTGTTTAGAACACATTTTAGGACATATATATTTAGGACACATAGCAGAACACATTTTAGGATCTGTTTAGAACTCATTTTAGGACATATATATTTAGGACACATAGCTAATGAATAGTCTTGTCAAAAACTCCCTAACAATCAATTTTATATGGGTTAAGATAAATTGATTTGTGCCTCAAAGTGATGAAATCACTTTTGCACAACTAGTCATATGTCAAAGGAAATTATAACTAGTCATATATCAAAGGAAATTAATAATTGTAAATAATTTGGTGTAACAGAAAAATAGTGTATTATAGCAGCATATGTAAAAAAGATGACTCATTAGTTGTGGCAGAAAATACATTCATTAGCGGATTTTTCCTATTTTTCTGGTTAATTTTATTTAAATAAAAATTGGATTTTTTAAAATACTTAAAACAAGCTTTTTTTTTTTAAATTAGTTAGAAATAATCTCATGTAAATTTAGCCAATTACATTTGGTTAAGTTTATAAATGGTAATTGACTAAACCAAAAAACAAATTAAAAAAATATATATTTTAAATGTCAAAAAAATGAATGAATGTAAAACAGGAAACATTTTTTTATTTACATGAATATAACAACTTTTTTGAACAATTAAACAAATTTTGAACAAAACTAAATTTGACTAAAAAATGCATGCCTTAAAATTAAAACAATTTTAGTATAAGGCATATGCATTGAAAAGTAAAACCAGTAACTAAGTAACAAAGTAACTAAGCAAAAGTTTTGTTTTAACTTTATTTTATTTCATTATGCTAGGGAGAAAAAAAAACTAATCAAAACTATAAACTTCATGGACATCAAGGGGACAAGAACTATGGTGGAGAAAAATATGGATATCTATCAAAGAGAAGTGAAGGGTTAGTAGTTTTTATAGCACAATTATCTCTCAAAAAGAAATCTATAAGATATATGAAGATCATATTTTTACTGAATCCTCTACTGAATCACACTTTTACTGAATCCTCTACTGTTTTAATCTTTCACTAGAAAGCCTCTCATAGAAACTATTTAGTTTTATTGCAAAGTTAGCATCTACTAAGAATTTCTCTTTTCATTTTGTTTTTCTTTTTCATGCTCCTGATTCCATTTTCTAGCATAGCTTTACTATACCGCTACTATCTCTACCATACCTTTAAAATACCTCTACTACCGTACCTCTGCCATACTTCTACTACGGTACCTCTACCATACCTCTCTCTTTATCATAAATCTCTTATTCATTCTTGCATGGAGTACTGTTGTATCTGGGCTGGTGTTGATTACTGTTGTCAAATCTGGGCTGGTTTTTCTAATACAGCTAACTCCCAACTTGGATAATTTTTTTAAAAAAGAACAGTTGAAATACATTAGTAAAAAAATTTTTTGTATAGGTTACAAAATTAGTCTCATGAAAAAAGATAATACAAACATTTTAAAACTACCATAAAATTACAATTTTTATTGATTTTTTAATAACTATAATAGTTACGTATTGAAATTTTATAGTAATTTTAAAACATTTGTTTTATACTTTTTAAAAATAAACTCTTACATAAATTTTTTAATCTTTTAAAAAAATTAAGTGTTACAATAATTATTAATAAGTTTTAATTAGAATAGAAAATTAAAAAAATGATAAGATAAATATTCTATTTATAGAGTCCGAAAGCAATGGCAAAAGCGTTATTGTGTAATTAAAGATGGTCAATTTACTTTGGCACATGATAAAGTAAAAAATATTTGATGCACATTTTTTAAGTCAAATGTGTCAGTAATTGTCAAGTGATATGTTATTTAAATGTTTATTTTGTTTATTTGTAATATTTATTATATTTATAATTGTTATTTTACAGCAAAGCGCACCAACCACTGCATTAAATCTTCTCACTTCTCAAGTCAAGGTATATTTTTACTAACTTTTAATTAATAAATAAAATTGAAATGGTTTTAATAATTAAGAACTAGTTGCATTAATTGTAAATTTATAATGCAATAGATTTTGGTATTAATTTAAAAAGAAAACTCAAACATAATAATAAAACTGTTTCATGTATTTTACTAGTATGATATAAGTATAATGTAATCATAGTAAGTAATTGTAATGACATGATATTGTGTTATAGTTCATTAGAAAAATTGGGGTGATAGTGAAATTGTTCTTCTGATATGATTTTAAATATTATTAGGAGTCAATCACCCCTAAAAATGTGTTGATCCCTTTTATAATATAACCCGAAGTATGAAGTTTATCATGAAGTTTTTTTTTCGTTAAACCATTTATATATTGTAACTAATTATACTTGAGTTATAACTTACTTGATTTCATGATAAAAAAATTTCAATGATAATGGAAATGGGTGATGGTCTCCTTTTTATTTGGTATGAAATATATTGAAATAATTTACTTTGAAAAAGACGTACACTTTTAACTGTGTAATGGAAATGCTCATAAGGTTGCATTACCGAGAACTTAAAGGTTGCAATACCGATTACTAAAAAAACATCATTTTATGTTTATTTCAAATCAAAATTTTTGAAAAAATCTTGTCTAAATGATAATCTAGTAGTATTTCATTAGGAAAAAGAATCATTCTCAGAATATAAATTTTGCTTCGAGTTTTAGCTAAAATACTCCAAAAAACAAGTTTGTTCTAAATGAGAAACACCTGTTTGAAGGTTGTTTAACTTGATTTATTTTTTTATAAATCAGTTACACAATTTAAATTATTTTTTAAAATTGCAACAAAATATTAAGATATATAATAATAACCCATCTTGGGTGTTTGTGCCAAGAATGTTGAATAGACGCTGGGATTTGTAATAGTGCTTCCACAACCAGGGGCGTTGATTTACTAAGACCTAGATGCAATTTGAAGGATTTAATTTTCTGAATCTTATAAGAATGTAAGGACAGATTTGAGCTTAGGAGCAATGTTTCAGGTGCTAAAACCTTTAGCGCAAACGTTTGTGCACATTATACAGTCAGTGAATTAGAAACAGTAAGAGGGCAATTTGTTTTTTCCTCTAAAGGCGGGTAGGGTGGTGTCAATTTTTTAAAAAAAAAGTTTTTATATAAAACTTAGTATGTGCGCGCCAGATTAGATTCATAAAATAAATGTTGGTGAAATAAGTCAGAAAAATTTAGTAATATTGAAAGTTTATTTAGTAGTATTCAAAAAATTTTTACAGCCGCCCCTCTAACTATATATTAACAACTTATTAAATGAATATTTTAGTAATATATTGGATACAATTATAATTGACTACATAAAATGTTAGAGAACTGTAACCTTCTTTACAAACCGCCTCAAAAAGAGGTTGGCGTGCCTGGTTAAGCAGAGATTTGATCTCAAGCATCGCACTACGTCATAAGTCAAAATGAAAAGTCAAAATGTAAAACCAATGTAAGTGTTATAAATATAATAAGCAAGAAAATTTAACTATTGAATATGTATTTCTTAGAATTTAATTTAAATCAGATTGAAATTCAAATTATTAGATCAAGTCATCATTTCTGACAGAATTTCTCCCAAGTCGAGATGTAATTATCAAGAGTTTTTTTTTTAAAAGATTAAATGCAATTAATTATAATATAAATAATTACATAAGAATTTGTAGTTTCTTTACTTATGGGATCTACATTTTTAAATATCGTTATAAAGTTTTTTTCTCTCTATAATTTCGTTACTTACATGATGTAACGTTTTTAAGTTGTAAATAAGGGATCATCCATAATTTACATAACGCAAAATTTCACAATGAACAAAACAAAAAAAGATCAAAAGTGTTCCCTCGCAGAATCTTAATTTAAATAAATAATCAAAATAGGAAACTAAGTTAAATAAAAATCGCTGCGTAAAAGAACTTAATATCTCCTACTTCTGTTCTTAAAATATTTTTTGCGTTGCATAATTTATGGACGAACCCTAATGTAAATCTATCAAGGTAACAGCAATTTTAAAGTCTATTTACGTCCTCCTTCAAGGTCGAAATTTTTCGGATCAGATAATTAAGTAAATTAATCAAATATTAATATGAACAACAAAAATGAAACAAGCAAAATTAAAACTAATACCCATAGATCATCCAGGTCATATTCGAAAAATCCAGAAAATTGTTTGCATAAAATATCCGGAAAAATCTGGAATATTTACCCCTTATTTTCCTTTTAACTTTGTTTTCAACCGAGTTGTTTCTTAATTTTGTTGAAACTTTTCCAAATTTTTGTAAGAGTGATGACTAAAAAAGCTTAAAAACCAAATATATTACAAAAATATAAAATTAAATTTGTATGGAAAACCTTTTGGATATCGGGAAAAAATAAAAGTTCAGAAAAATATCCAGAATTTCAGGAATATCCGGAAAATGATAATCCCTGAATATCATATTCATGTAATTGAAAAAAACTACACAATAATGTTCCACATAACATAGATTTGTAATATATGATATAATGATGTTCAACATTACTTAATTTAATAATGTTCAGCATAACATTATAACAAGAATTTCTTTTTTTTGAAATGCTACAAATAGGACATCTGTATTTTGTTTTATCTTTAAATTTTTCACAGATCTTGTTTTTCTTAGATCAAAAAAACCTCTTGCTTTCCTTGCTGTGTCAGGATCAATATTATGTATATTTCTTAGTTTCATAAGGGTTGCTAGCTTACTTTTAAATTCAGGATGGTTATCATAAAAATAAGTCAGCAAACTTTGCTGAATCATTGTTGCACTGCATTGTTTTTCTGTTGAATCTTCATTCGGTAAACATTTCAAAAAAAAGAGTTAAATTGGGTTGAAACTCCACCAGATTCAAAGGCACAACCAGACCATGTAATAAAAAAGTTTTCTGACATTTTACCAGGAATCGCACTGCGTATTATTTGATCATAACAATGACACATAATTTTGAGATCACGGTTCAATATAATTTGACATGGGCCATATTGTTTGGCTGTTTTATGTTTTTTCACTAAAATTATAAAACTTCCTGTAGGTGAAAAAGATCCTTTTCGAAATTCTGCAGTAGTCATGCTGGAAACAGCTCCCGAACAAGAAATATTGTTGGTTATTAAACCTAAAAAATACAGTCTCTGATATCGGTAAACAGTGTTCGAGTAACTAGAAATTCTGATGGTCTGTTTTTGTAATTAATATAAATAAAATTAACGTTTTTTACAATTTCCTGATAAAAATCACTTTTAGTTATAGCTTGAAAAGATTCCTTTGGAATTATATTTTCTGCATCTTCCATCATAACATCGTATTCTCTTAGTGCTTCTTTGCCACGTAATGATGTTCTCCAATTGCTAATTTCCTTCTGACAAGCATTAGGAACGTCAGCAGTTAGAATATAAGGAACAATATTAGGTTATAGTTAGTTTAGAGCGAAGAAGAAAATTGATAAAGTGACTCAATGACAAATAAGAACGTTCAGTACCTGGTTCATAACCTTTTTGTTTAGCATAGGGAAACCATTTCTCTTGTAGCAGTTTAAGATCTAAAAGACTTGTGTAACATATAGTAGTCAAATTGTGTAGCATTAGAGAGTTAGGTGAAATGAATTCTACTATTCTTCTAATTTGATGCATTTCATTTAATGCAGCTTGGGGATCTTTCTTTCCTCCTGATGGACTTTTTAAATAAAAAAGAAACGTATGCAGATAATCTTGAAAACAAATATGGTTATTTTCTCCTTTTTCAATTGTATTATTTGTTTCATCAAAATCATTGCAAATATAGTCATCTGCATTTAATGCATCAATGCAAGGATTACTATTATATTCATTTGGCAAGCAAGAAGATTTCAAACAGACTTCATTTCACAATTTTTTCATCAATCCTGACCTGGTTGAATTTGGTAAAGCAGACTTCATATCAATCAATTCAGATTGCTTTTTTATTTGTGAAAGTGAAACTGTAAATTGTTTACTTTCAATATAAAGTTGCTTTTTGCTGAGCATCTCTCTATTTTTAGGCAAATTATTTTTAAGATAATGCAGACATCTATAAAGATGATCATGTATATTTTTTGTAGCAATGCTACAAATAGGACATCTGTTTTTTGTTTTATTTTTAGATTTTTCACCTTCATCTACAGATCTTGTTTTTCTTAGATCAAAAAAACCTCTTGCTTTCTTTGCTGTTTCAGGATCAATATTATGTATATTGTCTGGGAAGATCAATTATGTATGCATCGCAGTCTTCTTCTGTGCACCTAACCTTTTGACTGACATACTTTTTTGACTCTTTGGAATCATTGCATTTTTCACTCTTTATATTACTCTTCCATTGTTGGAACAACTGTAATAACAAAATACAAAACTCCTCTTAAGTAAGTCTTCTTAAAAGAAATCAAAGTAAAATAATATAAAGTTGAAACTCTTCATTCGAAGAATCACTTATTTGAAGTTTTTGGTTATTCAAAGTAATTTTCATTCCCCTTGAACCTTCTTTAAAAGACTCATGTATTCAGTTATACAAAATTTCAGCTATTTAAAGTAAATTTTTATCCCCTGTTGAGGTTCAAATAACCAGGACTCTACCGTATTAATAACAAAATTTAGAATTGAATAGCAAAAAAAACTGTTTAATTCAATGTAAAATTTAATTAAATTTAAAAAAAAACAAAAAAAAAACATACCTTTTCAGCCTCAGAAACTAAACCAACTTTCATAAATCCTGTTAACATACTTCCCATTTTCATTTGCTCATTTTCATTCATTGCAACTCTACTAAACAACAAATGTTATTGTGAAAATAAAATTTACATAAATATATTATATACAATAAAATTTATGTAAATATATTTATAAGTATTTTAATTGTTCTTGATGTCAACCTGAGAATACCATTGTTCAGTTCTTTATTCTTTTGAGACTAAATTAAAAAAAGAACA